AATCTTGTCACCTGGAGGCTGCTCTTCCATATTTCTCCTGTCCATAGTCGTGCAGTGTTGACACAGACATTCTTTTTCTATGGAGATAGTAAAATTTTGTACCTGGGAGACAGACAATGGGAAGCTTCGCATGCCCATTGTGAGGAATTTGTGACAGGAGAAACTTTTATATCACAGATAAACTGCCTGAAGCTGGTTTGTGTTTTGCTTTGGGTGGAGTGACCGGGGCCTTGGTGTTAGTCCACGCTCATCGGATGAAGATGGGAAATGAGCCCTCAAAGGCTGCTGAGCCTTGTGCTCAGACTGGACAACAATAATTGATCCAGTCCAGGTTTTATGCACTTCTTAGTCTGGCTTGGTCTTGTTGGTTTTTTTTACCATCTGTGTCCTTTAACTCAGCTCTTCTGAGGTGGTCATCTCCTTGGTGATTTCATTATCTAACTTAGCAAATATGGCTCTTTAGAATATTAGTTCACCTGAACTGCTCCCTTTGCATATTTGCTTTTTCTGAACAGCTTTCCAACAGCTTTTCTTCTTCCTGACTAGCAGCCAGCAAGTGAAAGTTGAATGTTCAATAGAAGTTCAAAATTAAACCTGGATTACAGTAGGTTTATTCATACCTCTCCCAAGTCAGTTTGCTGTGCCAGTCATAATGTTCCTTTTTTTTGTGAACTGCTGAGCCTTCCTTGCCAAAGCTAACAATTCATAGGACTCAGTTGGATTCCATGTCCTACCAGTGAACTCAACACATACATCACCAAATAAATTGTTGGATAAATAGATAAGCAAACTGTAGCTGAAATGGAAGATGCCCTGGGCCTGACATAAATGAGCCTTTCCTGGTTTGTGAGCCACCTCCTGACTAACTGTACAAGCTATGGAACAGAAAAATCTAATCTGCTATGACAAAGAAAAAATATTGAATTAATATCTTTGGATCGACAACTTCAACAACTTTACCTGGTACTAGCAATATGAACTTCAGAGGGAAGGAATATTTTTCCACATTATGGACTAAAATTTTTCAGTGAGTGATTGACAGCAGCATCAGAGCAAATATGAGCATTTCATTCGCCTGAGTTGATCATCACTTCCTTAGATTTTGTCAGACTCTGCAATCTGAAGATCAGGTTTTTGCTTGCTGTAATCATGTCTCTTTTCCCTGCACACAGGTCAATAAGATGCAAAAATAACATAGATAAATCCATGCAGGATTTCAGTGACCTCTATCCCCTCCATCCCCAGTCCAGATTTCTTATTTTTTGCATCAACTAGAATGTTCTGGATATGGTAACATTCCTTTTGCTACAGTCACATTGATATCTTAAAAAAGGAAAAGATGTTTACCTGAAATATAGGAAGGATAGCTCAATATTAACACTTACACTGATGGTGCATTGCTAGCAATTAAACTTTCCAGATACAACAAATAAAGCTTAAAATGTTTTAAAGATGTTCTGAAAAATATTCAGCCACATAAAAATAAGTTCAGTGAGGGAAGGTGAACACAAGTTATCCTGCTACTGGCTTAGCTGTGAGGTTATGTCTCTTCAGATGATTAGAAGGTTGTTTCTGACTTTGTTGTTTCTGTTTCAGTGCTATGACCCATATACTCTTTATCTTGTCAGCTCTTAAATTCCAGTTTGATGATGCTTTGTTTGTGCTCTGTCAGAACCTTCATTAATTTAATTATCTACCTTATCCATATATGAAATCTCTATGGGATGTGGGAGCTTCAGTGAATAGGTCATTACATTATTTTTCATGTACTTGTTAAATGTGGCACAGGACGGGAGAACTGTTTGATAAGACTAAGGCTCTCTCCTATAAAGTGTAATACATTTCCATGAAAGCCCTTTTTGAGGAACAATTTAGCAGAAATTGACTAAGGCCCCTTGAAGCAGAGGAAAAGGAGGTTGTTTGCAGGTTGTTGGTATTAACTGCACTGGTAAGTAGAGAGGGAAGAAGGTAACTTTTCTGGCTTTAGTGCTTCTAGGACGTTGTTACCTCTGTGGTTTGTCTTACTTAAAAGTTCAGACTAATTGCTTGGAACCATCTGATATGTGGCCGCAGTACTGCCAATGTCTCATAGCAGTGGTTTCATTCTGAAAGCCTCTTGTAAGTGTGATGGCCTCAAAAATCCAGTGTGCTGCTTCACCAAACTGCCTGTTACTCCCCATGTCTCATGGTCTTGTAGACTCCTGTCTGGAAGACAACTTGTATTCAGGACTGGATCTATCATTACCATAATAGCCATGAAAGCCAAAATCTTGAAATGCATTATCATCTCAAGATGTTGAAGCAGAATAACAGAGTAATCCATGTTCCAAATTAACTGAACAAACTGGCAGTCTGCTCAAGATCATACAATGAAGCACCATGTAAATATCAGATTCTCTCTGAAACCAGTTTAGTTTCATCATAAATTAAGATTAAAATGCACTTTAACATTATTTAAGTACATATGGGGACATACAGGCAAGAATTTGCTTGACAGAACAGTAAATAAATGGGCTCCTCCTTTGCAAATGCACAATGACATAGCTAGTATAGGTCTAACAATCATTACAATCACACCAACAATTAATCCAAGTGCCCTGGCTGCAACCCAGCCATAGTAATGTAGTTCAACCTGACTGACTAAACTTCTTTTGTAGTTGCAGTGAGTCTGATGTCCCTCTATTAATAGTAACAGCAGGGCTACTGAAGAACCTGTATGTGTTTTCCCTTCTGAACAGTAGCACAACTTTCCCTCTTTTCTTCCTCAGCTATTATTTCACAAGGTAACAGAATGGAGAACAAACAGCAAAGCAACAGCATAACGAAAGAAAATAATGCAGTAAAGAAAAAAGTGGTGAGTGAATTCATCAAATCTTCTGTCAAGGCATTTGTTTGCTATTTGGAGACTGGAGGCAGAAAATAATTATAAAATAATTATTTGGAATCTATATGAATACTTACTCTTTTCTTTGAGTAGCATATATTTAGTTTCTGTAACTAACCAACAGTGGTTGGGAAGGGTACAAAATTGTAAGTGTGTTAACGTGAGAAATTATGTACATATTAATCACATGTAGCCATGGTATTTGTATTTGAGTATGAACTGAATTACTTGAACTGCTATTTAACATGAAACAAAACAAAACACAGGGGTCCAATTCATCTCAAATACACTCTGTATATTCCAGGGGCTTGATTCTCCTAACTTGACTCTTTTTTTGGTTTTTTTTTTGACTCTTACACCAATTCAAAGACATGATAAATGTTGTCTTCTATCTTCTATCAACATGTACAAATTGTACACATTCATGAGTAGCATCTGGCTTTCTGTTCAAACGCCAGGCATCTTGATCTGAGCCAATGACACCTCGAAGTTGCAGCATCATAAACTGTTTCCCAGCCTGCATAGCTCAATGGCATTACTTACTGTGTCTTTGAGAGCTCTAAGATAGTTCTGAGGTGTGTAACATATCAGAAGTGAAAACAGCTCAGATTTACACCAATATCAGTTACAGTCACTTGGGGACGATTCCCAGATGAACTTAATACTCATCATTGCCAACTAGAACATGCCATTTAACTCTTAGCAGTTCAAAATTCCGTGCTTACAAGTAGGTACCTTCAAATATAATATCTGAAAGCTTTTATCTTCCCCAGTAGGTACCTTCAAATATAATAGCTGAAAGTTTTTATCTTCCCCAGGTGGCCTGTCTAATCCCCATCCTTAACATAGCAGTAGTGTGGCGTGTCAGATACAAACCTCCTAAGGCTGTGGAAACATCCTTAACATCCTAATTGGCGACAAGTCTTGTGGTACCTTCACAAGGTAACACGGGAAATCTTCCTCACCTTAGTCTAGAGTCTTGCTCACAGAAAGGCTGCCCAGATCTCCAGTCGGGACCGCGGCAGGGACTCCTGCAAGCCGTGGTCCCCCAGCCCCACTGCCACTCGGTGGCGGAGCCGCGATGGACACCGAGGGGTGACATTCCCCTGCCCTACCTGCTTTGCTGGGTAAATCCCCGAGGGGGGACGGGGCCTGTCGGGCAGCCCCCAGCACGGCGGCGGGCGGGCACCTTCTCCTAAGTTATGTGCGAGCACGCACAGGAGCGAGCTCGTGTTGCCCATGGCTCCAGTCCTCCCGCAGCCCCGGGCATCGGCTCTGCCCCCTCCGAGAGCCGCGTCCTGCCGCGGCCGGGACAGGGGCAGGGGCAGGGGCAGGGGCAGGGGCAGGGACAGGGACAGCGGCAGGGGCAGGGTTAGGGACAGGGACAGGGGCAGGAACAGGGACAGGGACAGGGGCAGGGTTAGGGACAGGGACAGGGGCAGGGACAGGGGCAGGAGCAGGGGCACGGGCAGGGGCAGGGACAGGAGCAGGGACAGGGACAGGGACAGGAGTAGGGACAGGGGCAGGAGCAGGGGCACGGGCAGGGGCAGGGACAGGGACAGGGGCAGGGGCAGGGACAGGGACAGGGACAGGGGCAGGGTTAGGGACAGGGACAGGGACAGGGGCAGGAACAGGGACAGGGACAGGGGCAGGGTTAGGGGCAGGGACAGGGTTAGGGGCAGGAACAGGGGCAGGGGCAGGGGCAGGGGCAGGGGCAGGGGCAGGGGCAGGGGCAGGGACAGGGACAGGGTTAGGGGCCGGGACAGGGGCAGGGGCAGGAGCAGGGGCAGGGGCAGGGGCAGGGGCAGGGACAGGGTTAGGGTTAGGGGCAGGGACAGGGGCAGGGTTAGGGGCAGGGACAGGGGCAGGGACAGGGACAGGGGCAGGGGCAGGATTAGGGGCAGGGACAGGGGCAGGGGCAGGGGCAGGGACAGGAGCAGGGGCAGGGACAGGGGCAGGGTTAGGGGCAGGATTAGGGGCAGGGGCAGGGCCGGGGCCCCGGGCGCCCCCGAGAGCCCGGTGCGGCCCCCCGGCCGCCGCCGCCCCGCGGCCGCGCCCCGCGCTGCCCCGCGCTGCCCCCGGCGATGCGCGGCCGCTGCGCGCGTGCGGCGGCGGCATGGACGGAGCGGCGGAGCCCGAGGCGGACGCGCTGGTCCAGCGGGGAGCGGGGGGCGGCGGCCGCGCCCGCCGGGGCGTAAGTAGCGCGGGGCAGCTTTCCGTGCTGCGGGAATGCCCGCAGCCCTTACCGCGGAGCGGGAGCGAGCCCGCCGGTGCGGGCGGGGAGGCTCGGCCTGTGGTGCCCGCGCCTTGGGGAGGAATAACGGGAGAGGGGATGATTCCGGTCCTCTCTGGCGTGGTGGGGACGGTGGCGCACGGAGGCTGCGGGAGCCGGAGTAACTGCCCGGGGCTTCCCCGAGAGCCAGGCGGAGCTCCGGTTGCACAGCCCTGCCCCGCTCGGGAAGTCGTTAGTGCCGGTACAGGGCAGAGCTAAAAGCACCGCAGGCACCGAGCGGGGACCCGGAGGATGGGCGGGGGTCAGCGCGGGGCCGGTGGGTGCCAGGCCGGGGAGGCGCCGGACGGCGAGAGCCGAGCGAGGCGAGGGCGCTGCTGCTGCGTCCTCGCTGCTCCCCAGGACCATCCCGCTGGAAAGCTCTCAGGACCAGGCAAAGCCGCGGAGAGAGGGACGGAGGTGTCCATGCACCGCCCGCAGCCCCGGGGCAGAGCAGCCGGAGGGCGCCGGGTCCGCGGCACCTGCCGGGAGCGCCTGGCCCGCACCGGACCCGGGGCTCCCCTGTGTGGTGCTCCAGAGTCCAGCTTTCCTGTGCCCATTAGCATGGTCTATTTAAAAACATTAAACTTCCTCATGCATGCATGCGATGTTCACCATTAACAATTGTTTAATTTTAGTCTGAGGAGGGGGCTATAGGTAACCAAAGTACAACACTCGAAACTGTGTTTTGAAAACTGAAGTGCAAACTGTCATGCAGTAAATGAAAAAAAAAAAAAAAGAAAAATTGAGACTCATGGTAGCCAGCACAAATATTTCCCTATATACTGAACAAGGAGTGGAGTTGAGAAAAGCATTTGCAGACCACAGTGAACTAAGATCTGTGACTAGACCAAAAATGTGGGCTTTCACATGTAAGCAGTCCTCGGGTATCTGCAGGTCTTTGCTGCGAACTGACACGCAGCTTTCCTGACTGAACACTTCTTGCTGTGGTGCTGGGGACACGTTCCTGCCCCTGGGCTGACAGTAGCGAGGCATGAGCACACGCATGGCCGTGAAACCAAGGAACACCAATGAAGGAGGCATGGTTGCCTCCATTTTAAAAGACACTGGGGGTTGTGTTTATCTTTCCTGTCCTTTTACTAGTGTTGCCACAGGGTAAATTTTTGTTTTGAGCAACAGTTTGATTTTTTTTTTTTTTTTTTTTTTTTTTTTTTTTTTTTTTTTGCATTCTTGCTTCATTCTTGCTTTCGTCTTTATCTGGTGTTGCTGAAACCTGAGCAAATATTTAAAATTGTGAATGAGGAGACAGGCCATGGAGAAGTTGAACTTCATGTTCCAAGTTCCAAAACCTCTGAATTGAGTTTGTCTGAGGTTTTCTACAGCAGCCTCTATACTTAAAAATCCATGGTATTGAATAAGTTTCTAAACCCAGTTATCACAGTGTGAGATTTTCTATGCATTTCTGTGATTTTCCCTATCTTCCACTTAGCCTCACGTGCATGTAATTTGCCTGTACTGAAATTTTTGCGCATTCATTGATTTTTTAATAACCATTAGGCTATATGTTTCAAATAATTTTCTTGCAGTATTTTTCTGATGTATCTAATGTTTTTAGAGTTTAGAAATATTGCATCAAGATTACTGCATAACACTTGGGAACTCACACTTATTGCTTGTGAGCCCCTTGGGTGCAGCCACGTAGACCACAAGAAATATTTTCCCCAGCATCATTAATTCAGAGTAGTAGCAATTTCTTCTAAGTGCAGGAATGCTTGTGCATAGCAGAGAAATAATAAGCACCCAATCAGAAGTTAAATAAAGCCTTATGTCAAGTTTCTACATTTTGTTAACAAAGTAATGGTGCAAACTGTGTGTGTGGGGGGCAGGATCATTTTAAGATGCTGGCTTGTAATAATAAATTGTGTTTGGCTTATGTAATGATCTCAATGGGATATATAATGGGCTTTTCACCCCCTGCACACTTCCTCCTGACCTGACCAAAATCAGGCTGGTTAATGAACTGTGTAATCTCTTAAAAGGTTCCCACATCATGTGGAAGAAGTTAAAAACACTCAGCTGTCCTGCAGGGTTTATTTTGAATGCTCAGAGTTGGCAGCTACAAGCGTGGCAGACCCCACATGTGCTGGGTTGTACACTGTGCTCCCCACCCTGGCACCTGGGTGTCTCATCCCTTCTCCACAGCTCACAGAGTGACACAGGAGTGTCACACCAGTGTGGCACAGGAGCTCTGGCACATGCCAATAGCCACCGTGTGCTCACCTGCACTGCCGTGCCCACAAGGCTGGTGGAGCTCGTTCCAGGCCACTGTCACTGCAGCTATGCCATGTGCCAGCTACACACACCTCCCTCATGCTCAGGACCTGCATTTTCCAAAGTGAACACACAGCTCTGTGCAGAATATATTCACTCATTAACCTGTTGTAGTGTGGTGAGTGATATAACTTAAGCTGAGTTTGTTAGGTCTGCTTAAGCAGCTCTTCCTCTTTTTGAAAGGATTGAGGCTTCTGTGAGTGAGGAGGCTGGGCATAAATAGCAGTGAACTCTGCCTGAAATTCTACATTCTTATCATAACTGCCTTTAAAATTGAAAAGATGTTAAAAATACATCCATTTTAACACATTCAGAGTTGTCTTTCATTATCTACACAATGACATTTGCAATTGACCAGCCACCTGAACAGTAACCTCAATGTCTCTTGGCTGAGAATGATCTCTTCTGCCACATTCTGTGATCCAGAAGGAGAAGTGAATGGCAGAAAGTAATACTGGGGAAGCTGGAAAGGAATACAAATGCAAAACATCTCAAATCAAAGCAGTTCTAACGTTTATTCAACAGCTGATGTGGAAGCAGAAATTGCAGATTTGGGCTAATAAAAGTATGAGGAGGATGAGAGAAGACCTGAGGAGGAAGAAGTACAGATGTGCCACTGGGAAAAAGGGCACAGGAGAGTGTGTGTGTCAGAAAGTTACTGTTGGAAACTTGCGTTCAGATTACAAAACCTAGTTTGTAGGCATAATTTTAATGTTTTTGCTCACAATTTCTTTAATCCCTTGGGGGTGGGGTGGGGCGTGTGCACACCATCTCATGAGTTTTCAGCCAAGTCTGATCGACCCACAGCCCTGTTGTGTCACATATATGCTATACCTTACTTCACTGTGTTAGCAATATACTGTCAACAGTTTCCTTTGCTGAGATTATGCTTCCCCAGCATTTTACTTTTTGGTGTGGGAGATGCTAGAAGGTTTGCACCAGAACTCTGTGAGGTTGAAAGGAGTTCAAATACTCACTTGTGCCTCCATCGATGTAAAGTGACATGCTGTCACTTCCAATATAATGTGATTGAGCAAGGGGAAGTGTTTCAGGCTATTATTCTGCAGCAAGGACATCTGCCTGTAGGAGCTATGCAAGATAGCTAAGGAGTGTTTACAACCTGAGGTACATTAATTTTGAGAGTATTAACAATGGCTGCATATTTTCTTTGTTTTTCAGAATTGGTCTGGGAGTCTTATTGTAGCCTCCTTAACTGGTGCTTTTGGGTCATCTTTTCTTTATGGTTACAATCTGTCGGTGGTGAACGCTCCCTCAGGGGTAAGTGACTGACTAAAGTGAAAATTAATATCAGTAGAGGGCAGCCTTGTCCAGCTATTGTCTCCTCAGCATCCTGCCTTTATACTCCTGATTACATAGCAGAAGGGGATTAAACCTCATATAGTAACGTTCCTTTGCCCAAAACCTTCTTTCTGCTTCCCATGAGGTTTTCACATAAATTCAGTAACTCTCAGAGAGCGAAATGCTGCTGTTGAGGTGAACGGGTGCACATGCTTTGCTTCTCATTCTCCCGGGTCCAGGCTAATCATGAATCTTCTTGCACAATTTTATGTGATAAAGTGTTTTTAATATCAGACTGGTGAGTATTCAGTAGCTGCACGCATGTGTTCAGCAAAGTCTCTTCATGTCATTCAGTTCTAGAGGGTTGCACAACATTTCATTCCCACAGTACTGATATTATAAATAATGCCTCTGGTTTCCTCTTAAATGCCTCTCGTTTCCTCTTAATGGGGCCTCCTCTTCTGTGTTTTGTCATGATGTCATGTTTGGTTCTGAATTCTAAACTTCTTCATATATTGGCTGCAACATGTGGGATAGATTTAATGAATAGAGCACTGCAAAATCAATATACAAAATTTTTGGCAATTTCATTAAAATATCAGTTATTACAAATGGAAATCTGAATATTTTGTTTTTACACTGGCTGTCTGGAGACCTTCAATTCAGTCAAACACAGCAGGAAGCAATTCAGTGGAGTTTCAAGCAGCATTATTTTGAAAAGTAGCTAGTAAATATTAGGAATAGGAATAGGGAATTACTTGTGGAAAATCCATCTCAAAATACTTCCTTTCCAAAGCGAAGTTCTTTCCTGTATGAAAATCTGCCATTAAAATATGTGGCTAGATTTCCACCTAAACAGGTTTTTCATGTCAAAGATGGATGCGATATTTATGCAAATAATAAAAAAAAGCATTTTTAAAATTTTATGTTCTATATGTGGATTTTATTTGGGAAACTCTTGACCCAAAGGACTAAGAAGAGACTCAGCCTACAGAAATTTTTAATTTCTCGCTTCATAACTTCTGGGAGTTTTCTTCAAGTTCCTGTATTTTATATATTGGTTATTCAAGGCTGGAAAAATTGGATGGTAGCATGACATCACTTCACCTTGCAGTCATCAGAGGATAAACACAACTTAGAAAAAAATCAGCAAGAAGGTGTAGTTCTGTGAGAAATGGTATTGATTGTCCTGATGGAAAAATCCTTCCTGCACTGCCTTGGGGCTGTCAATCGAGCAGTGAGAATGGGCCAATTTTTAAACTTTTAACTACCATTTAAAAAATGGACTGCCCTGGTAGTCAGAGCTTTCTGACACTTTCTGCAGGAGTAAGGAAAAGAAAGGATGATGGGATGTGCTCCTTGGCAGCACTCAGAAAGTTCTCTTTGAATCATTCAATAGATTGCAGTGGTGTGGGTGGGGAGGTTAAAGATGCCACCCTGTGACAAATGCTAAATTCCAGGTTTTGTACTTAATAACGCTTCCAGGATTGTCTGGTTTTGTTTGAAATCCTCAGTATGGCTTTTGTGCTGAAACTGGGCACTATGCTGATGGCTTTGGTTATACTGTTACAGGTATGCATGAAGTCTCCCTTGGTGTCCAGTGTTTTATTGAGAACTTCATAACTCTCTTATTCAGATTAAGCCATAAATTAGCCAGGGTTAAGGAGTAGTCCCACTGACAAGGAAGCTGTGTAGTTCAGGAAGAAAATACCACTCTGTCCTTTGGCCCTCTCTCTAGCTCCAGGATTAGTGTGCATCCATTTGCCTATGACAGACCACTTTCCTGTCCCTGGAGCTGCAGTGACCAGGATGAAGGGATGAGCATAGACTGAGGTCACAGCCATGGTGGGCAACAGTGAGCCATATCAAAGCTGTGCTTCTTGCAACACAAGAAAAAGAACCTTTGCCCCATCTGTTTTCTTCTGCATCTAAATCAGTCTGCTGCAATGTGACCCTTTGGGAATACTGATGTGAGATGACTGAGAAACACCAAAGCTGAGCATCTTGTAGCTGTAGATAAAAGCAGCCTTGTAAGAGGTTATACTGGGAGTGCAATAATTCCTACAAGTTGTAAGTTGTGCTTCTTTTATAAACTTAGGAAGAGTAATTTCTCACGGTGACATGCAGTTTACAGCCGACATTGTCAGATTGTCCTTCTCTCCATAGGATGCTGGGTATCTTCTGCCCTTGTTTACTTCAGTACAATTCCTCTAGATGCTGAAGTCCTCCAGCCTCAGAGGGAGACTGTACAATCTTTTGAGAAGTAGTAAAAAAAGGCTTGATTATGACAGTTGACTAAAACACAGAATGTTTCCAGGATCCTTGAACTGAGCATGCCAGCAGGACATCAGCAGGAGCTGATGGAATGAAGGAAGTTAATTTAAGACTGAAATGTTGAAGAACTATATGTAAATTCTTGTGTCCATTTTCTTTCAGTGCCACAAATTGTGTCAGCTCATCAAACCACAGGGGAATTCTAGTACAGTTCCCACTGGTGGGCTTTACTTCAGGTCATCTCATGAGGCACAGTTAGTCTAACTTCCTGATTGTTGCAAGGGGGAAATAAGCTCTTTCCAGAGCTGAGATTGCTTCCCACTCAGTTCCCTGTAGTTCTGTGGGAAACAGCATGGCCCATCACAGGTATGATTCACTGAGAAACCCAAAATTACAAGTTTGCATGGGCTTGTTCAAAGAGTTACCAGAATTTATTAAAAACATATGGGAGCATTTGACAATAGGAAGACAAAAAGATTTAATTGAATACAAGATGAAGCTGTCTGTTTCTGAGCTGAATTTCTACAGTTCATTTCATGGACTGATTGTGGGCAATGCCTGTGAAACAATGATGTGCTTTGTACTCTGTGAGGGAAGCAAAGTCCCTGCTACTTTCTGCTCTGCAGCCCTTGCCCTCTTCCTGCAGGAGGCTGCAGCTCTGAGTTCCTATGCACAAACACAGCCTGCTGTGACAGCTGGTTCAGTAGTTGTCACTGTGTGTAAATGACCCCTGTAACTATGGGTAAGAAAAGGAAAATGTTTCTCTTGTTTTAAAAATATATCCATTAGATTCGTATATATAAACATTTATATATTCCTTATATTCGTCTTTTCTTTATCATCCCAGCACTACTACCATAATGAACTGAGGCAGCTGAGAAAATAAGACACTGATATCAGTCAGGCACCATTTTTTGTAGGCTTTGTTTAGGGGCTAAAATTTTTGTATAGTTTTTGTTATTGAGACACCTGATCAAAATACCCAAGGAGCTTTTACATAGAATTCAATGGATTCAAATCCAGTGGATTTTTTTCTACCGCTGGGTTTTATTAGCTTCCTATTTATTGGCAATAGGAGTCCAGAGAGAGGTGCTAGTACATGTCAGAGCATCCATCTATCTGTTGCTAGTGAGTGTTTTAGTCTGTACTTCCTTTTCTGGAATATTTGCAGTTATTTGATGTCTCCTTGTAAATAACTAAGCTATGCTGAGAAGATTAGTCAGAACACAAGGGGAGAATAATTTACAGACTATTTTTAGCCATTATCATTAACAAGAAATGCTAATAGTGTTCTAAAAGCGTTTTCTCTTAGTATTCATTACTATAAGAAATTAATTTCAAGTAGACAACAAGATGTCTGAATCTAAATATAATCTGAGTATTGGTGTTAAAGAACTAAGATGTTAATACTTGATTTAATGGCAGATTCATTTAGAATCTTACTGTGAGACCTCTAAATTATTCAAGCACCAGAATTACTTGTCTTCTTTATTTTTATTTTTAAAAATAAAGTGTGATTTTTTTCACGCATATTTTTATGATGTATTTTCTTTCAGTATATCAAGAAGTTTTACAATGAAACTTGGGAGAGGAGATATGGCTTCTCAGTGGATGAAGGCACACTGACACTCCTCTGGTCCATAACAGTTTCCATTTTTGCCATTGGTGGCCTTGTGGGTGCCATTATTGTTACCCCAATTTTGAAGTTCTTTGGAAGGTAAGTGTTTCAGAAAACTTGCATTTTCTAAAGTAGTTTCTCACTTAGTCTCTGCAGAAGCTTTTACTTCTATTAAAAACCAAACCAAACCAAAAGAAATCTTTAAATTCTGAAAACTTACTGTGCATCATTTGAGTCACAGAAGCCATTTGCTCTGAATGGGCAGTGGGTTGAGATGTCAAGGAATGTGACTTGCAAGTATGCCAAAGGAAGATACCATAAAATAGAACTGATTTCACAAAGGACTGGCAGAGCCTTGTTTCATGAGCTTACTGAGTATCTTACTGTAAACAAACAAAGCTATCAACATATTTAATTTGCTTTTTAACAGCATTAGCTGTCATATGGCAATAAAAATGTACTCTTTTTTCAATCCTTGTGTCAACTTCCTGTATGGCCTTCCCCAAGAAGGGGGTATGCCATCCATACTGTACAATGCAATATTTGACTAAGTCTTGACCATAGAGAATATAAGTATTTTCAGAATGTTTTTGTTGGTGTGTGTCTGCATTTTTGCTGCAGGTATTACCTAGGTATTTATGTCAAATATTTTTGTCATACAGTCTTTCAAATAGAATTTGAAAGGTAATTTATAATTTATCTATATTTAGAAGGGCATGAAAAAAAACCCATCATTGTGGCATTCATCATAACTGCTCATTTGGATTTTTCTTTATTGTAAATTCAATATTATTTGATATCTTTTAGTCAGTTAAATCACAGGAGAAACTTCATCATGGAGGATTAAATAGAAGTGTAAACTTCCATTTTTCTTACTTTCCTCTTTTACATTTTGACTATTTCCATTAGATTGTTCTTCCCTAGGTCTATTTTTCATTCTCCCAATTTGTCCATATGTCATTTTTCATCTCAACCGTGTATTTTCAGGTTCTTCCATTTCATGCTTACAGCAAGTCAGTATTCTTAGCTGTTACCCATTCTTCCTGAATTTATTTTGTCACTTCAGCACTTGATTTTCAATTTTTAAATATTTTCCATAGTTACATTATTTATTTTTTTAGGTTTTCAATTTCTTCTGCCAAATCATGCATTTGACTTTAACATACTTGTTAGAAATATGAAACTGTGCCTGACTCAGACTGATTAATTCTCAAAATATTGTTAAGTCTTTATTAAAATAAACTGAAGAAAAAATGGCTTCAGAGAGGGCTAGAATTTTCAGTGAAGAGTGGAACAGCATTGTGTGCAGGTTTGTTAAAATGCTGTCTGATCTCTGTCGTAGATACACCACTGCCACTGGAGCTGGTCAGGTTTCCAGGGCAGACCTTTACACTTGCAGACTCTGCCTGTTTATTATGTTTATCTCCATTAAGCCATGAAAACAGCTCTGTTACAGATACAGTGGATGGGTGCTGGAGCAGAGATGGGAAGGGGCTGTGTGAATAAAAGCTGCTCACCAAAGAGTGGTTCTTGAGTTTGCTGCTCACACTGCAGTGTGTTTGTCTGGTCTAGGAACCCAGACTGACACGTCATTATGGTAATTGAAGAGCACACTGTGAAGTGTTGACAGAACAATAAAATACTTTGCTGTTAAATTGCTCAAGTGTAGGTTGGAGAGTTGTATCTATGATAAAACTGAGCTCCATTTACACTGACACAGAATAATGAGCTAAGGGGGATTAAAAGCACTAGTCAGAAATAATGTATGACTTTAAAAGAACACTTTTGAATCATATTGTTGTAAGGTTAAAAACATAAATTCCAAATCACTGAACCTAGATTCCTAGGCTCTATTTACTTCAACAGACATGTGGAGTAATTTTTTGAAAGGGAACCTTCATCCACATAAACATTATTCCCAAGTTCAGATGTGGCTTTGACTCTTAGATTCTCCTCTTCTAATGAAGAGAGTCTGCTGTTGTTTAAACTGAGCACCCAGACCAATGTGCTCAAGGGATTGTTTAGGTCACTTTTAGGGTTTCCCTAGAAGGGTGAGGCTGAGCATCACACCAGGCTCCTCTCCTTGTTCTGGGTGCCACAGCCAGTGGTGACACTCAGTGCCTTGTGCAAGGGGCTGGGGTGAGTGTGCAGCAACTCCTCTGTGCCACTGCTTGCTCCTCACTCCTCCTGTGCCCCAGCGTGGGTCCCCATGGACCACCACAGTCCCTCTGGGGATGTCCCTGCTCAGGCCTGGCTCAGCCTCTCTTCCACTGACCTGGTTACAGCCTTGCTCCACCTCCCCACAAAGCCACCCCTGCAGCCCCAGCTCTTCCAAAACCTTGCCACAGACGCTACTTTCCATAGTAACACCCTAAATAGAGTGTTTTCTTGTTTTCATTTCCTTTCCATCCTGCCAAAGTCTTTGTTTTTATCATGTTTAGTTAGGCTGTGCTTTTCTCTTCTCAGCTGCATAGGATAAGGGTTTGCTGGCCAACTTTTTCTCAAAAAATATGTATTTTGTAGTTTTTATTCAAATTAAAGGAGGAAAAAGCAGTATCTTCTGATGAATGTATAAGACTTTTTTCACCTGAATGAACATTTTCTTTCCATTTCTGTCATTATTTGTATCACTTCAGCCACCTCAGAGTGTATATCCATCTGAAAAATCTGTTCTAAACAGTTACAGTCTGATGGTTGTGTTGTATAGACTTTAAATTAATTGTATCTTATTTTTCTATCTTCAAGCCATGTTATCCATTCAGTGTTCAAAACTCACTAGAAGGCAGGAAGCACGATTAAAAATATAAGTGTTAAAAATATTTCTTTTCAAAAACATATGCATCTGTTGTAAGAAGTTGGGTGACTTTTTCAATGGGTGTGAAATTTCCTCTTGATACTTACATATTGGAAAAAATTAGAACTGGTGGTACAGTTTGTCACCTGCTCTAGAAAGGAAAGGGATAGACAGTTTTCCTGGTCACTTCTTTTTAATTAATCCCTCAAACTTAAGCAAAAAGTTCTGAGAGATGAAAACTAAAAGGAAATAGGGTGTTGGTAAATGAAAAGTTTAGATGTTTTGACAATTTTAAAGTACATTTTGTGATTTGGTTCATGTTTTTTAACAAAATAATAATTTGCCATAAAGAGTATTTATTTTATTTGAAAAAAAAAATTGTTTTATTTAACTGCTATAGAATGAAGAGGGGAAGAAATATGTAAACCTGTATTTTGTATAATTCAAACAATTTTTAGAAAGGGGGTGATTTTTATTACTTGAATGAGCCTAAATGTTTTTTCTAACTCTACAATAGGAAGTAATTTTCCTCAATGTATGGTTTTAATATCAAGAATTTAAGGATGAATTATAATGACACAAATGATGTCACAGTTGGGAAGTTCTTGAAGTGTCAAGAACTGTATGTAACAATAAAGTGCCTGTAGTTATATCAGCTTATTGCTATTTGAAGTATATTCTTTGGGTTCTCCATACAGATATCTATCCAGAGTACACTTATTATATTCATGTGCAGGGCCTCAGGCCTGACGCTTGGGTTTTCGGATGCATAAATTGGCTCCTTGCTGTGCTTTTGAAGTACAGCTCTTTAGCTATCTATGTTATGTTTTCTTTTAAACAGAACTCTACACATCTAAGAGGCAGTGTTTGTTAGGCACTTTTTATTTATAGATATTTAAGAATAAATCTTAGTGTGCTTCTAATAGAACTAGATTTAGCTGCCATGATGCTGGTTTCTACCTAAACAGTCTTTGCCTTTTAGGAAATGCACATTGGTGCTCAAAAACGTGTTTGCAGTGGCAGCTGCACTGTTGATGTCCCTGTCCTTGCTGGCGGGCTCCTTTGAAATGCTCATCCTGGGCCGCGTTATCATGGGTGTGGATGGAGGTAAGCTTTGGTCACGCTCTACACATCTGAGATGCTTGTGCACACTCCTTCTCCTCTTCCCTGGTCAGAATTTGCTTTACATCAAAGAGTTACTCCAGGCACTAGCTGTAGCCACACTGATTCCACTGGGACAAAATGGCACACCAAGGGCTGGAGGATCTGATGTTTGGAGGAGACATTGGAATGGATGCTCACCACTTCTAACAACTCTGTTGTTTCCCCACCTTTCCTCTTCCAGCCATGGTGGAGTGCATTTGTTTCCATGCCATGAAAACCCCTTGCCTAGGAGATTGTATTCTGTTATTAACACTGCTTTTTGCTGTGTTTACCAGTTGCTGGATCCTGTGTTAATGCCTGCAGGACTAGGGACGGTTTGGTACTTCACCAATTGTTCCTAGCAATATGGTCTTCCCAGTTTGAAAGTAAACCATGGGAGCACTGCAGCACCAGAATAATCTCGCAGCTAGAAGGAAGGGTTTCTGCTAATTTTTATCCCAGATTACCATCAAGCAACCAAATTTCTGGAGTGGTGCAAACATTGCCATTGTACTGACCAGGGTCATGTGCTGGTTTTGATTTAAACAGCATTCCAAATATTATTTTATGCATATTGTGAAGAGTTCATTGCAGCTATAAGCCTATATTGAGAGGAACATCTGCTAATACTGTTTACAGTGAAAATACTTCATGTGAAAATATCTGCTCTGTCTGACTGATGCATTGGGTTTTTTTCCCCTTACCCACATCAGTGTTAACATTATTTTGCTCGCTTTGGGATGAGCAAATTTAAAACATAAAATCTGTTCTCCTGGAGATTCTCATCTCTGAGTAACCTTTGGTGCTCCACATCAACAAGCAGCCTAAGCATGCCGGTGTAGATCTGTAACAGATAATCAATTCCATAGTTATTAAATGGTGTGAGAGTAATTAGACATGCAGGGAAAATAATTCATGTTATGTATGGATAGACATCTGTTCCTTGCATATTTTTATGCCACCCTTGTGAGCAGATTATCATTCAGGCTCCTTTCAATACGAATTTGTTGCATACCTGGCATAATAAATATGTTTTGACTTAATATATGGGTTTTGTTCTTCTTTTGTAGGCATTTCATTAAGTGCCCTCCCCATGTATTTGAGTGAAATATCTCCTAAGGAAATCCGTGGTTCATTGGGTCAGGTCACAGCGATTTTCATTTGCATTGGTGTTTTCACTGGTCAAGCTTTGGGGGTGCCAGAAATATTTGGGCAAGTAAGTATTTAACAGACCTTTTACACCAAAGAATACAAGCATGCTTTAAGTGTCATATTTTCAAATTTTGACTGGATTCTTCACAAAAGTGGAAAAGAGAAATATTTCTTTTTCATTTTGGGGCACTTTGAAAAGTAGTTTCCTCCACGTCTTCTAAAATCAGGTACTAAAATCTTGGCTAAGTTTGGTAGATGTGGCCAGCAGTTTCAACAACTTGAGTGGCTTATGTGTGCAGATCTCCTTCTCCCCCTTTCTGATGTACATCTATTTTTTTTAGTTTCCAGTTTCTTGGAATACCATGGAAATGCTTAAGAGTTTTTACATCTTTGATCTCTAATTTTTCAATATGAGATAGAGTTGAAAAAGGCTTGGTTAGAGTTATTATGAGAACTTGAATAGAAAGACTCTTGCCTAGTGATTATAGTGTTCCTTTTAATGCAATCCTTACCTGCCCAGCTTTTAGAATAAGTGATGGAAGAGCAGAGTTAACATACACCTTTATGGGAAAATTATCTATTCACATAAGAGGTTGTCTTGCTGTCACAGCCTGAGATTAACTTGGTGGCCACTGGATGTCATCATTACTCTGAATAAATGAACTTGAGTTTTGTTCAGGCTGGCAATTGGAAACACAGGATCACACAACGGGTAAGGTTGGAAGGAACTACTGTGGTCATCTGATCTGACCAGGTGCTTTCCATTCAGAGATAATTCTTCAAGGCAGTGTGGAGGGAAGGTCTGCAGCAATCCTCTCACAGTGAAACTTGAACACAGAATCCCTTCTGACAGCCAGAAAAAGTAGTAAGGGGTTGGAAAGTGAGGGGAGCTTGTCCTTTTCTATCCACACAAAGGCAACTCCTTTGTCAATACATGCACTGACACTTTTATTTTTGCCTGACCAGCTTTCTTATTCTGTCCCTTTGTTCTGTTCAGTTCTCCTGAAGGCAAATTATTTTATTCAATTTACCCTTTATTGAAGGATAGATTTCTCCCCGGCCCATCCAAAGCAACAGATTTTTGGAAAAAAATTAAAATGTTTTTTATTGTGTGGCTTCAACAGGTGCCTGTTCTCTTACCTTTTACAAACAAGTGTATGAAATTTCAAGAGGCCAGTTTGATTTCTTAGAGCCTTTATGTAGCAGGTTTTTTTAATTTGGGCTTTTGAAACATGGATACACTTTTAAGATAAGGTGTCATGCAAATTCTTATTCCTTGATTTCAGCTCATTTTTGCTGGTTTTATTTCTCTTCTTGCCTTCCTTTCATCACTGTTGTTGCCACTACCAAATTACAGAGGTAGTGTTTCTGTTTCTGCAACCTGCTTTAGTGTGAAGTTAATTAATATTGCACCATTAAAGACAGACAATATGTAAGAAGAAATATGCTTTATCTATAAAGATAATGCTCAAGATGGGTAACATCAACATATAAAAAAACAGTTTTACCTGATGTGAATAACAATATTTCCAACCACTTTATTTGGGGCAGCTTGAGTATTCTAGTTGGGTATATGGGTAGGCTTTTTTCTTTTAGTTTCTCTTGTTTTCAGTCAAGCCAGGATATTTTTTCCCTAGGTTTATGGGGTTCCTATTGAAACTCCTTCAGTGGGAGGTAGTTTTTATTTTGCTGCTCTGTAGCTGTTTGTTTCTTATGAGAATATGTTGTAAATATTACTAGTTACAAATACTTGTCTTCTGTCACCGTCTTGTAAGTTTTCTGCTGAGATCTGTCACGTGTCTATTGCATTTAAATTGGGCAAATATCTAAGAGGTCATTAACCATAGTCTGAGCATTGATGGTTTTGAAGAAAGGAGGGACAAAACCAGAGATGAATGTCCTGCTAGAAGAGACTCTTTGAAAAAGGGATGGACATAAGAATGACTGTCAGCATGGCTGAGGTTCTTCTTGCAAGAGGAGGTAACAGCAACATTGCTTGTGTGGTCAAGCAAACAGAGGAAAGGGAGAGGAGCTGACTGCACCTTGTTAACACAAGAAAGAAGGAATAGGGTGGTTTAATCTCAAAGACAATATGGCTACAAGAATGACTTTTTATAAATATTGTGTGAATAATTGCATGCTGAAATTCATCAGAGTGATGTTTGGAACAGACTCCTGGCTGAAGTAACTTGAGCAGAAAATTAAAATTTTAAATTGGAGTTTGATGCATTTATGGGGATTATATAAGGTTGTTGCCTTCAGTGGTTCTGTAGAAGTCTCTGAGCAGAAAAGGAAAGCATTTATGTTGGCTGTGGGGCACAGTGTTGACAAGCATTTATTAACAACCTAAGTGATGATTTCCTCTGTTATCAAATGCAAAAGTGTTCCTTTAAATGTGAAATTGCGATAAAAATAGCTCTAAAGCAATGAGTATTACTTGAGGCAATTCAAAAGTCCTTACTGCTTTTTGTATCAAGTATGTTAAGCAGCCCTAAATTGATTTTTAAGCAATCTTTCTTTTGTCAAGATTGGTCAAGGTGCAGCAGGAGGCATGTGGGCAGCCCCAGGTGCAGAGCAGAGGGGCAGTGGTCAGCTCTGATTGGGTTACTGGCTGTTTCTGGCTGAGTTACTGGTGATTCCTTCCATCTTCCCAAGCTTTCTACTGGAAGTGCTGAGGATTGACAATCTTCTCATTTCCTTCTTATACCTTTTCATGCCAGTTCTGTCCACTTATTCTCATTATTCTTTTGATCAACTCTTATTTATTCCTTAGTACCTTTCTGTTTCTTTTTTTTCTTCGCCACCTTCTACAGTGTGCTTCTTCTCTCCTCCCCCTATCACGTATGATCTTTGTGTTTCAGGTTAAACTTCACCTCCTCTAGTAACACAAGCCCTTTAATCTCCTTCTCACCCTGTAAGCCATTATCTTAAATAGTTCCTGGTTTAAACTCCAACCTAGGAGAACAAGATTATACAGCTAACCCAGATGAAATAATACTTTAAAAAAACAGAATTATATTGAATATTTCCTGGGTTTCCTGGAAATGTTTTGTCTGGAATATTGCACAAATGCTTTTAATTCTTTTCTGTGTCCTTCCATATTGGTATGAACTAAACAAATATTACTATGTCCAATTATAGTATAAAAGAGCAAATGGAACAAAAAATTTAAAATCTTATAAAGACTGAAACACCTAAATACAGGCTATTTTTTATTATTCTGGATATATATAAAAGTTTATCATATTTGTCTCCAAAGTTACTTATTTTAGAATGTGTTTCTTCAGTACACAGTGCTTACCAAGAGTGATTGTTTGAAGGAGAAAAGCTGCAGTTGTGACAAGAGTCATCAACTGCAGTGACTTGATAATCTTACTTGCTTTCCACAGTTCTAATTGCCTCCCATCCAACAAATCATAGCTATGCTTTTTAGTCAATATTCTGATTCTTACAGGTCTGGGAAATTCCTGAGGTTTGGGAAATTCCACCATGGTAAAGTGGGCTGGTGGTCAGAGTACAGAGCACAGTGGCTTCATGTGCTGGTGACCTGCTTCTCCAAGCACCCCAGCTGCTGAGAGCTGTGTGCTTATTTTCACGTGCTGGCATCTTGTGTTCTGTAAGCCAGTCCCTAATTCTTCAGGAAGCCACGGCATCTGTAGATGACAGCTTGGTGCAGGCCCACGGGTGTGCAATGATGTTATCTGCTGTAATGTGGGCACTGAATTATTGCTACTGGCTACACAATTATTTAATTCAGGCCATTTTTGGTTGTACAGCATGTGCAGTTTTCCATGTATCTGACTGAAGGTAAAAAAACAGATAATAAGATAAGGACAAACTACCTCAGACCTGTCACTTCTTCACACACTGCCCTTCAGGTATTTCTGTTCTCTCTGTTTCTGTGATTCTGCAATTGAATCACCCAGCCTATTTCTCCTGACAGATTGCTCCTGCAAAGCAAAGGCCAGCGCACTGTCAGCTTCAGTTTTGAAAGTTCAAATTTACACTTACTGTCTTGGGGAAATATTGTCTGACCTGATTCTGACATATTCCATGTAACTTTAGGTATCTCTGTAGCTAACTCATCTGGTTCCTCCTGTAGGCAATATCCTGCTCCACAGGTTTTCCTTAGCATGGTAATATCTTCTAAACATTGTAAACTGTCAGACTGTCTATTCTAGGGCTTCATGTTATTTAATGAAGGTGGGCTTTAAGCTTTCCCTAAATTATAGAGGATTTAGTTTCTTAACACATTTGCAGTAGTCACAGTGTTCTTATTTTCAATATACATTGAGTTAGAGTATCTCTTTCATCTGTGTATCAATATCAGAGAGAAGAAAAAGTTTCACAGTGTGTATATTTATTCAGAACAGGTAAAGTTGAAACAGTTGCCTTTGCCAATCTTTCCTCAGACCTCGCCTTTGAGCCCCTTTTCCTGTGTGGGGTTTGTCAGGCTTTGCCAAGCTGCTGCTGTTTTCCCTGGAGTTGCTCTGGTGGCTGGCCAGCTCTGGCTGCTTCTCTAAGTGAACAGCTGCTTTTTATTGGTACACCAATGGACAAATAGAATTTATATTTTGCCTGTTTATTTCAGCAACCCAACTTTAAAAACTTCAAGAGTTTCTAGTCATGCACGCAGGAGCTTGCCTAACTACATGTTTGCATTGTTTCCTAGTGGATAGTATGTTACTCTAAAAATTTTGATTTGCTTGCATCTTAAGTCTCATCAGGGGAACACTTTCTGAATGAATCCTATTGCTGTGTTAGCGTTTCAAGGGGAAAAAAAAAAAAAAAAAAAAAAAAAAGTAAAATTCCTGATGTGTCCATCTCTTGAATGTTGCAAGTAGAGTAGGTTTGGTCATTCTGTTTTAAAAAGAATGTAATCAAGCAGCACAAGGTGCAGGAATGAGCAACAATGATCAGATTTGGGAAGTGGCTTTTTGAGGAGAAAAATTTGGGTTAAACAGCTCTTATGGGTAACTCCATGCTGGGGAAACACACAAAGCATGAGTGCATCAGAAACAAAGCATAACGGAGAAGGTTTAGAATTTATTTTGAAATTACATT